GATCTACAACTAATCTTGGGTGATAAACATGACCATTTTGTATCCAAGTTTCAGCTTGTCCCCGAGCTTGGAAAAAAGCACCCCAAACGAAAATACTTCATTTTAACTAAAAATGTTATTAGTAAATGACACCCCATTTAAGTTCGAATTGATAGTCTCGGCCAAGTTGGTCGTCATGTGTCCATATCGATATCCACCATCATATGCATTTATCCACATTTCTTAATTGATAAGGATGATGTAATTGTATCATTGCTTATTTTTCCTTGCAAATCTTGAAGCATGGACTCAAAAGTTTAAGAAAGTAAGTCGTAACTAGAGCGTCAAATGTAGTACTTAATGTTAAGTTCCCATAAAAAAATTAAAATGATGGAGAAGTGAAATTAGGAATTGTAACATACCCATGCGTACAAGTAATTATCGTTCATCATTCTTCTTGTACTTTCCATGATAGTTCGTGACAATATGTCGGATACAGTACCGATGTTGGACATAGGGTGATTGCCACATTGGACCTAAAGAATTCATTGCTTCTTTGATCCCAGCTCCGCGATATGAAATGACACAAACTTTTCCCCTCGTGACAATATGTAAGCGTAAGTTTTTGAGGAAAAAACCCCAAGAATTTGTATCTTCTCCATCAATAAGGGCAAAAGTAATTGGAAGAATGTTGCGATTACCATCTTAGACAACTGCCAATAGTAGAATTTCCTTGTATTTTCCATACAAGAATGTCCCATCAATTTGGATCACAAGTTTACAGTATTTCACATCATTAATGCACTGTGGGTAAGTCCAAAAAAGCCAGTAGAAATGAACTCGATCGCGAAACACTCAATCATTGTGGTATGCATGGCAAGTTTCAAAGTCGACTATTATCATAGGATTCAGTCTGCGCACTACCCTAAACCATCTTGGTAGTTCATTGTAAGATGAATCTCACTCACCATGAAGTTTTTTTAATGACATTCTGCTTTGCCTTCCATGTTTTCCTGTAAGAGACGGTGTACCCATATTGAGACTGTATAATTGAAATCAGCACCGCAATGGCTATTTGAGAGCTTGCTTTGACCATGGGCATGATGGCTTGGCAGATAATGTCACAGTTAAAGTTGGGATGATCCTGGTTGATCTCTCTAGCACAATATGTATGAGGACCTTTGTATACTGTTAGTTCTCATATGTTATTTTTCCTCTTCCTCTTCGATACACGAGCCATCCAGTTGCATCAGTTATCACATTGGACACAATAGCATACATAATTTTCGGTAGTGGATCGATCGACTCTGGAGTGAACAGAATTACAAATATTGTAATTCTTAATTACAATCATCGCTTCTTCTTTCGATGAAAACTTCATTCCGATATATAACTCACTATCATCGACTGATGAATTAAATCCATAGTCACCAATATTAGGTATATCCGCAAATTTTGGCCAATACATTGAACCATAGTCAACTTCATACATGTATGTTGAAGGTTCAATGTGTATCGTATTTGTGGGAACTTGATATACATCATCATTATCGGAGTTCATGTTGAATTGTGGTGATTCTGGCTCAACGAATAGTTCAGTCTCAGCACCATCCTCACCTAGCTCACGAAGATGTTCTTTTGGTGGAGATGATGGTTCCTCTATAATGTCAATATTTAGGTCGAATAAGCTGGTAGTTGAATGCATTCCCCTTGAACTTAAAGCATCATGTCATATGGGTTTTGAACTGAGTCTTGTGTCGCAGCCATCTTGACATTGAGGTCGAAGAAGCTCGTAGTTGAATGTCTCCCCTGGAACTTGAAGGTATCGTGTCAAATGGGTACTGAATACATTGTTGTGTCGAGGGTATCCCCATATTCAAGTCAAAAAAATTGGCAGATGAATGTCTTCCCCTTGAACTTGAAGCGATGTTTCCATACGAATTGTTCATAGAGCCACCTCGATAGAGATCGCAACAAGTTGGTGATGAATGTCTCCCCATTGAACTTGATGGGATGATACCAGGTTGTGGATTTCCCATTAACGAGTTAAAATCATTACACATTACTTGAGTTGGGTTGTCAACTGGATCAGCTTGTTGAGCCAGCCATAGTGGGAGCATAATGACATACCACGAACTGCAGACACTTCAAAAAATGTCGCATACATTTCTGTATCAGAGTCTGAATTTTGATTCTAAGAATCAACCATTATAGCAACATCGTCATCGTTAGAGAGTTCGAACGCTGTATAAGTTAACAAAAATATTGCAGTTGAAAATATGTAATGAAGTGAGAATATTCTTCTAATACTTCTAACATGAAACTTCCTTGAAATTTTAGTGATCAGCTCCTCAAGAGTGATGTTTCTCTTGAAGAATATTCTGACAAAATGATTTGATGCGAAGAAAACGTCGGTTTCATCTTCCCGGATTTCTCCATCATAGTAAATAATAGTTGAAATACGCCTCATTTTGAGAGTTTGAAAGTTAAAAAGATTGAGAGTCTTATATCTGCAAAAATAATAGCTGAAATACTCCTAATTAAATAAATAGTATACAAATTAAAATATTAACTAATGCTAAAAAATTTAAAAAAAGTTCACTGTAAATTAAATAACACAATTTAATATTATTACCGTATCAACAAAATGTCTCTATATTTGATCTCATCTTTCATTTTACAATCACAAAAAATAATACGAAATAGTTAATACAAAAAATTGGTTAAATAATTAAATATAAAATAAATATAATATAATAAAAAAATAATTTTACATTCTAAAAACTATAACAAAATCTACTTAACGTGATACAAGGAATTGATATAAAGAAGAACGTAAAAGTAATTTTGGTGTGGTTTGATGTTTGTATTCGAGAGTATTTATAGGAGAGGGTGATGGGTGAGTCACTTAACTTTAAGGCTCGGATAATAATAGAATATCCAATAATTCAGGGTAAATAATAAAAGTCACATATGGTGATCTGCTTCTTCCTCCGCGTGTCAACTTTACCACAATGATCCACGTTTTGCCCGCATTAAATTAACTCGGACGAAAATTCAGAGAATACACGTTTGGTGATATGCACCTTTCGTTCATGTCAAATAATGAATAAAATTTTATCAATAAATGAGTGACAAATAATTTTTGATTCTTAAGATATTTTTGGGTAAAACCGTGGTCTTTATAAAAAGATGATAGTGACGTATGTGAGTAATATCAAAGTCCATGTATCTAATTTGACTCACCAATCCAGAAAAACAACCAATAATTTTATAATTTGCTCTTTCATTACCTTGAAATTTGTGTCATAGTCTCTCTTTCTGATTTCACTGTCTACAAAGTCAAATCCATTGACCTATAGCAATAGTGCAACGTCATCACAGTTAAAGAACATTAAATATTCATCTCAAGTTCCCAACAAAAATATTGTGCAAGATGAGCTGTATAACACACTTGAATGGTTGCCTATACTGGCACGCATTTGACTGGTAAGGTATGGTTTTTTCCTTTGAAATCAAATCGATATATAAAAACTAATTTTATATATAAGCATCATCAATCTTTCATTTAAATGCCTCCGTTTAAAGTTTTATATTTTTGGCTTAATACAAAAATAATTATTTAAATTATACCTAAAAAAATGTTTTAACGCTTAAATTTTTTTTGTTAAAAATAGTTTACTAATGTTTCCTCAATTAAATGTTTAGGTGCCTAATGTTTTATTTTTTTAATTTTTTAATAATAAAAATATATTTTTTAATTAAAAATATAACATTTTTCGCTAAACACCCATTTTTTCTGAAATTATAAAAAATCTTAAAAAACTTAAATCTCTCATTTTAACCCCAATTACCAACCATTGCCGGTCATCTCTGACCACCATCGTCATCGTTGAATGGTCATTCACCCGTTGTCACCCACCCATTGATCAATCGTCGTCCTTAAAATCCAAAATCCAAATCTTTAATTCCCAATTTCAATTTCCCAACCCAAACGATCGTCAGCTATCTCCGGACATCATTGTCATCGTCGAACGATTGAGTTTTGATCGGAATTGTACAGCGGTTCAAATGGCGGCGATGGTGTGGCTTATGCACATCGAAATCGAGCGGAATCGATGAAGAACGGAGATGGTATCCAACGAACCTTTGAACATTTCTCTACAGTAAACATTGGCATATTAAGAGGAAAGGTCAACGGGGTTTTGATTGGGGGTCGATACCTGTGCTAATGACGGTGGCGGTGATGATCACCTCTGGCTAGCCGACGGCTATGAAAGGGAGAAGGGGGAGAGTGGGGGCTGTTGCTTCTGTTTTTTTATAAAAAATATTTTTATTTTTAAATTTTTTTAAATAAAATCTAAAAATTATCAGAATATGACATGTGTCACTTAACGGGAATTTTTAACGGCGGTTAATGTCCGGACACCTAAAAATATAACGTTTAAACCATCATACACCTATTTTTAACTTTTTAACGAAAAATTCTTTGGACACTAAAACGTTTTTCGAAACATAATTTGATCACTTATTTTTGTATTAAACCGTTTTTTTATGTTGCTCTAAACTTGGCGAGAGTTGATCTTTTGATCTCAAATCGTTCAAAAAATTTGAAGAAATGATTAAATTTATTCGAGATCATATGAAAGCTATCTTTGATCTATAAAAGTCTCCAAATAGATATCAATAATGTATTATTGGATTAAACTTGGTAATTGTGGACAAATATGTATAATGTATAATATAAAACTAAATGAATAATTATGTTATATATGGGGTATTAAAGTATCATAAAAACAAAAAGTAAATATCATAGGCTATATTTATAATTTGATGATAGATAAAATTATAAATATAAAGAAGTGGTAGTCTCAAAAGAAAATACGTTAACTTGTGTTTCTTCCCATTCCTGTTAGAGAATTTTATGATAAAAAATATATATCTTCTTGGATGGTTAAACTAAAATCTTCTTGGATGGTTAAACTAAAATATTCAAGGATTTTAACAAATGCCTTCTTCATCAGACTCATTAAATATCTTTCAAGAAGTTGAGTTTGATCTTTTCTAACTTTGTAATAACTTGTTTCATGTCAAGCCTTTCACCTGGTATCTCCACAGAACACTCCAAGGCAACTTGCAGAACTGATAATGCACAAATGTTGGCTGCTACATGTTTCCTCCCAGCAGTGCTTACATAATTGGTGTCTCCAACTTGGTTTACCATAGATGTTAACGTCTCTTTCACCAATCTCCTCAAGCTCATTTGTTTGGAAAACATTTCATCTGTAGGCTTCTTTCTCATGATAGTTTCCATCATAAGAATACCGAAACTATAAACATCACCTTTTATCGAAACAATTCCTTCTGATCCATACTCTACATATGAATTTATATAAAAAAAAATTATCAATATTCAATAAAAAAGATATGTTACAAACTATTTAAAGAAGAAGAAGAAGAACCTCACCTGGTGCCATATATCCAAAGGTTGCAAGGGTCATGGTTTGGATCATTGAATCCTCTTCGCATAAGAGTTTTGCGATTCCGAAATCGCTTAAATGCGCAACCATATCTTCATCTAATAGAACATTGCTGGGCTTTAAATCGCAATGAACCACAGGTGTTGTACGACCATGATGGAGATACTCGAGAGCAGATGCAACATCTATCAGTATGTTCAACTTTTGTTGGATATCCAGAAAATGATTGCTGGAATACAACCATTTATCAAGGCTCCCATTGGGCATAAACTCAAGTATCAAGGCTCTGAAAATCATGATTATTGGAGCTCCGACCGATGATTTTGGTTAAATTTCGGTGACGAATGTTGAGAAGAACTTCGTATTCAATGTCATAGCTTTTGGAGGCTCCTTTTAACTCTAACTTGAAGACTTTTACGGCAAATGTCATTCCATCTGGGCGAGTCCCTCTGTATACTGAACCGTAACTTCCGCTACCAAGCAATCTGCCATCATTGAATCCATCAGTTGCCCGATGAAGCTCTTGGTATGAAAATCGTCTCCACATTCCTAAAGGTAGCAAGTCTTCTTGAGTTTCCAATGTTTCTTTCTTCTTCCTACTTCGGAATATAATGAAAATTAGAGCCACCACCAAAATTGTAGAGGCAATCGACAGTGCTATGGCTACGTATGTTATGAGCTTACTTCTTGACTTGGAATTTCTATGAGGTGTAGTGTTGCAGCTTGGAATATGAAGTCGAGCTGCACCACACAATGCTCCATTCCCCTTAAATGATTCAATCGAGTAGTTTCCAAATGTTCCTCCATCAGGAATTTCTCCTTCAAGCCTATTGAAAGATACATTGAAATATTTGAGAAAACGGAGTTTCTCCAAGGACTTGGGAATCTCTCCGGATAAAATATTTCTCGACAAATCCAAGGATTCCAAGCCCCAAAATTCACCAAATGAATCAGGAATAGAACCTGTGATTCTATTATTAGATAAGGAAAAATAAGAGAGGTCATCGAGTTCTGCCACTCCAGTAGGGATATCACTCGAGAACTGATTGTTCGACAAATCCATGATATTCACATCTTTCCAGTTTCCAATATCAATTGGAAGAGGACCAGTGAGAGAATTTTGAAGATAAGTTCAGGATCAGGAGATTAGTAAGCCCTGTCAAGGTTGAAGGTATTGAAGAAGAAAACATATTAGAGCCAAGGAGTATTTGTCTCAAGGAAATGAGATTACCCAAGCAAGTAGGTATCGATCCAGACAATTTGTTGTTCGAAAAGACCAAGAATCCCAACTTGTTTAGCTGACATAACTCAGATGGGAATGGTCCTTCTAACTGATTGTCCCCAAGAGAAAGACTTTGCAGCTCTTTTAATCCTCCGATGGTAGTAGGAATCATCCCTGTCAATTTATTGTCATCAAACTTTATGTCTATCAAGTGACTCAAGTTGCCAAATCCACTCGGGATGCTGCCACTGATGTTGCACTTTGAAGCAGAGAATCTCTGAAAAGAATCCGAGAGATTTCCGACCAAACCTGGAAGTTCACCGCTGATCAATACGTTGTCGCTGAAGTCCAAGATTTCCAAGCCTCTGCAACTTGTCAAAGAAGAAAGAAAGCTCAATCTTGAAGAAGTTAGATTATTAACATCCAAGTTGAGTCTCTTTAAATTTCTCAGATTTCCAAGAGTGTCGGGGATGGACCCTGAAAATAAATTATCAGAAATGTCAAGAATAGTAAGCTGAGAGGCATTGGAAATGGACATTGGGAATGGACCAACGAGTCGATTATTTGCAAGATATAACTCCTCCAGGTTGGGAAGCCAAAGCCCCGTGTTTGATGGAAGACTGCCCGAGAGCTGATTACTTTCAAAAGAAATGGTAGACAGAGTCGACATATTAAACATAACGGGAGGAATTTGACCGACAAAATTATTGTCTCCCGCACTCAAAAATTCCAGATTCTTTAGGTTGCCAATCTGTTCTGGTATTGTACCTGACATAAATTTTATCAGACAAATACATCAGACCAATATGGAAGGAAACTGGGAGGAAGAGAGTTTTATGTAGTGACAATATATGATTTTATAACCTATGAGTATAATAACAGTTATATTCACGTCATTATTTACTTAATATTATTAGAGAAAATAGATAAAAAATTGATGGGTCATGAATTCAAAATTTATGCAAGACAAAAAAAAAACTAGGAACCATCACCTGTAAAGTTGTTACGGGAACAATCAAACTCACTAAGAAGAGTTAAATTCATAATTTGTTTTGGAATTTCACCTGCAATTATAAAATTCACACATCAGATCTAGAATTCCTCTACATTTCTTCATAATAAATTAAAGGTTCAATGTTTAAAATGATCCCTAAAGTATACACTTTTTATGTTTTGAATTTTTTTGAATTACTGTTTTGATTTTTTTTTTAAATGGTCCTCTAACCAAATAAAACACGTCATATGACTTATTTTATATTTTCAGTTCCATGTTTGATTTGATCATTAAAATATAGTATTACCTTGAAAGTGGTTCTTAGCAATAGAGAGGAATTGAAGCATGCTCAAATTCCCAATTTCTACAGGTAGACCCCCCTCCAAGTGGTTATCTGATAAGGATAAACTTCGTAATTTTGTGCACTTGAATAAACTAGCTGGAATTCTTCCTGAAAGCATGTTATTACTCAAGTACAAATCTTTCAAATTCGGAAGACGATCAAACATATCGTCTGGAAAATGACCAGTGAGATTATTGACGTAGAAATTGATGAATTCAAGCTGAGGCAAATCGATTGGAACAAAGGGTATGGAACCGGTGAACATATTGCTGCCTACATCAATAGCTTTCAACGAAGATATGTTGAAGACGAAGGAGGGTATTGAACCCGAAAGCTTGTTTCCATACAAGCTCAACTCCTCCAGCTTTTGCAAGTATCCTAAAGAGAATGGGATAACACCATTGAAGTTATTGTAGTACAGACGCAACACCTGAAGTTGAGTTAGTGATCCTAACCACGATGGGATTTCTCCACTGAAGCTGTTGTTACCCAAGTCTATATGTTTCATCCGGTGCAAATTTGATAACTGGACTGGTATTCTGCCATGAAAACCGTTATCTTTGATTGAAAGAAGAGAAAGGAATGATAAATTTCCTAAGTGGGGTGGAAGGGTGCCTACAAATCCCAAACCAGTAAGGTTTAGAGCTGTGACTCTGCGGTGGTTGGATCCGCAGCTGACACCAAACCAATTGCAAACAGGAGTAGAAGATGACCAATTGGTTGCCAACACATTTCCAGGATCCTGGATAACATGGTCTTTCAATGCAAGAAGAGCGAACTGGTCTGTAAGAATGGTGGTTAAGTTTGATGAGTGGTGGAGAAAAATGGAAGATGATGATGAGAAGAGTTAAGTTGAGGAAAGTGTTCGCCATTTGATTTTGGTTGGTTGAGTCAATGGAAATGGTGTTTGTCAAGCTACAAAGGAAGGCACAACCGAAATAGCCTGATAATACATTCTTATATACAATATAATGGACCCATGCATTTCTGCACAAGTACATTGTTAATTGAAGGTTTTATAATACCTAAAACATCCCCTCTAATCTAGTGAAAATTTCACTTAGCCCCTTTTATTATTCTTTATCAGTTTAACTCCTAAACTTAGAACACGCGAATAATTTTTATTTTTTAATGTTTTTCGGTGGTTTTTTCCTTGTCTTAACAGTAGCTTTCAACATCACACAACATCACTAGATTGATACATATATAAAGAAAAATGGTTGCTAATTGACTTCAAACTAATTTAGACTTATATTTTGAGAAACTATTGATTAATATAATTTTCAATTTTCAAGAACTGATAAACGGAACGGTCCAAATAAGATTTTAAGAATTTTATTTTAATGACCTATACGTGCTTGTCTTTTACTACGGTGACGTTGCACCATAGTTAAAGGTCAAGGGATTTGATTTCGTAGACGGAGAAATTAAAAGAGAGACTATGACACAAACTTTAAGGTAAGTGAAGAGCAATTCTTGGTTTTGTTTTTCTGGATTTGTTAGTCAACTTAGATACATGGACATTAATGCTACTTTACTACTGACATAGATCGCTATAATTCTTTATGAAGACAAATGCTATTGATTAATTACTATTTGATTGGAAATTTGAGGCTTCTTTGGTTTGAATTTTGGAACTTCTTCACTCCGTTAATTATAAATTTTCCAAGTGAGAATATAAATTAAAGAAATAGTCCTCAGTTCAACCATGGAAATTTCTTCAGTCCTTCACGTGTCTATATATATAAGAATAATATATAATATATGTATACAATATAAGTATACATTAGACTTATAATATATGTATATAATATATAAGTATATATATATAAGAATAATATATATATATATATATAAAGTATAAAATATATAAAGTATAAAGTATAAGTATATAAACTATATAACATGCCAATGGGTGTTGGCACAAGTGGTTGAGATTCAGGAATTTGAGTTTGTAAGGCCAAGTTCGAATCCTACATGTCACTCTTGGTAAGCAATTTGTAAATTCCTATGCAAATCACAATTGGGACTTAGGTATGCCCTGACCTTGGATTGAGGGAGTCACTCCTGACTTAAACTTTTGTGTACCAAAAATAAATAAACTATATACTATATAGTTTATATACTTATATATTATATATTTATATATTTGTATACTCATGCTATGTATGTAATATGTAATATGTATGATGCATGTATATATATTTATATTTATACATGTGGGTATATATATAAAGTATATAATATATAAGTATACAATTAAACATGAGTGAAAATAAAAGATACTAAAATTAACATTTATATTTAATAATTATGCACATTAAAGAAAGAAGGGAAAATTAAAAGTAATTAGAATGTATTCAAGATAAAATTGCATCAAATTGAAAATTCAAGAAGATATTTACAATTAAACCATGACTAAAATGAAAGAAATCTAAACCAATTTACAAAGTAGAAAAATGATAATTGTTGGAAGATTTCGAGCCTAATTAGCCCAAAAATCTTATTGGACACCTACTTGGTGCTAACTTCCCAATTTTGCTCAATTTCTCTCTAAATTCCAATTTCTCTCTCTTCCCAAATTTTTCAAATTTTCCTCTAAATTCTCAAATAAAATCAATTTTTTCCACACACAAAAAAATATTTATTTTAAAAAACTTTCTCTCACAACTCACTTTAAATAATATATATATTTAATCTCAAATAAATTCATCTTATATGTATTATTTAAAATTTTATGTTAAATTATATTTAAATTATAAATTAATTATTACATGAAAAATAAATTAAACTTATAAATATTTAAATTAATTTTATATAATCTAATAAAATCATGTTCAACAAAAATATTTAATGAAATTAATTTAATGATTATAATTAGATTTATAATATAAGGATTATAATTAATATAGAAAATAAATTTATTAATTTAATTATCATAACTAATAATTTGTTTTAACTTTCAAGAGTAATCATATTAATTATCATAGTTTATTATAAATTCAAAATCTCACAACTTCATCAATTGTAACTTATAAGTCAGGTAAATATCATATATGGTCAATAACAAGTTGGATGATTTACAGGTTGAGTCAATTACATGTCAGGTTGATAATAGGTAGAGTAATACCAATTATTTGTCAGTTAATCTCGAGTTCGGGTTCATATCAATCGGATGCAGATCGGGTTTGGTTATATATTATTGTTTCAATTCGGGTTCAAGTAATTCTCAGATCTGGTAGAGGGGGTTCATATCCACAATTTTCAGGTCCAATTCGGGTTGATGTCAACACCAGTTCAGACTCGAGTTGGTTTAAAATACCACCGCTTAAGTCACAAACAATTTTGACTCGAGCCAGTTTTATAGGTCGGGTCAGCTTTTTACTTCCCTAATCAATGTTTTCTGTAATTTTTAGGATATTAGTTGTACAGATGAATCTTAAAAAAATGTTGAAATAAACGTTTTTAGTACATCAGGTTTTGAGATATATTTCGAGTTTTGACATAAATGAAATTTTAAATTTTTTTTAAATTTTTCTGATCTCTGTGTTTATAATAAATTATTTATTTTTTTATCCATAAAAATAGACAAGGTTAAATCACATTAAATCTAGTCTTCCACGAATTTTATTTTATATTGATGTCATTTTAATCACCTTTTTAGTTTTAAAGTTTTTACAATAGTCACGTTATAATTCTCGTTTTACTTAATTTTAGTTTGTTTCTTAGGTGAATGTAATACCCCAAATTTTGGTTAGTGACCAAAACATAATTTTTGAAAGTTTAGTGTCCAAAGTGTAAAATTAGGAAAAGTTTAGGGAACAAAATGGTAATTCTCCCAAAAGAATTTTTATTTCCATAAATGAATAGTTAACCCTCAATAATGGCGTTTTGGTGGGAATCGGATTTTCGATTCGGAATTTGTGTTAAAAGCCATAAAGTGTTAAAGTCCGATAAAAATTCGATAAATCGGATCGAATAGAAATTTTGAGAAATTTTGAAGGATGATAATTTAAGCTTAAAAATATTATTACCACATTTTAAAATGATGGAAATTGTTTATTTAATTTTTATTTGATTATACTTCTTTAAACAATTTAAAACCCTTTTTTATTTATTACCATTAATATTTATTATTTTATTATTTCCCTTTTATTTATTATTATCTATTTTTTTAAAATATTTTCAACTTTACCTGAAATTCGATCTTGTCCTAAAATCAATAAATTGTTTTACTAAATCACAAAAACCATAGTCCTTGTGGATTGACTCTGTTTCTCTATACTACATTTTCATTTCTATTTAATTAAGAAGACAAAATTATTTTGATAACAAAACGACGATTATCAAAAAGTTTATAGGTTTGGAAATTATAATATAATTTCTAAAATTTGAAATGAAGTTTATTATGTGATTTATAGGGTATGAAGTAAATTACAAAAATATAAATAAGTATGGTCCAATTTCAGATACAAATATAATTTTAAAGACTAAATTGAATAAATATGAAATTAAAAATTAAAAATTAAATGAATTAAACAACACAGAGGGATTAAATTGAAATAATTTTAAAATGTGAAAAAATTGTAAAATAGACTGAATATTATACATAATATAATATGTATGATGAATGTTAGATAATATAATACATATATGTATATATTGTACATTTAATTATGCATATAATATAAGTATTCATAATATTTATAACATATGTATAATATATATATATATATATATATATATATATATATATATTTATATAAAATATAAAGTGTATGTATGTATATATGTATATGTATATGTATAAGTATTAACTATATACATAAGTATGTACTTAAGTATATATATATAAATAAATAAGCATATATAGTATATAATTAAACATGAGTGACTAAAATAAAATATACTAAATTAACATTTATATTTAATAATTATGCACATTAAGAAAGAAGGGAAAAATAAAGTAATTAGAATGTATATATGATTAAATTGCATTGAATTGAAAACTTAAAAAGAGATTTACAATTAGACCATGAGTAAAATGAAATAAATCAAAAACCAATTTACAAAGTAGGAAAATAATGATCGTTGGAGAAGCGAGTACTTAATTAACCCAAAAAATCTTATTGGAGACCCAATTGGCGCCAATTTCCCAAATTTTACCCAATTTCTCTCTAAACTCCCAAATAAAATCAATTTTTCCCCACACACAAAAAAATATTTATTTTAAAAAGCTTTCCTCCCACCACTCACTTTATAAATATATAATCTCAAATAAACTCATCTTGTATATTTTAAAATTTTATGTTAAATTATATTTAAAATATTAATTAATTATTACATAAAATAAATTAAATTTATAAATATTTAAATTAATTTTATAATCTATTAAAATCATGTTCAATAAAAAATTATTTAATGAAATTAATTTAATGATTATAATTAAGATTTATAATATAAGAATTATAATTAATATAGAAAATAAATTTATTAATTTAATTATCATAACTAACAATTTGTTTTAACTTTTAAAAGTAATTATATTAATTATCATAGTTTATTATAAATTCAAAATCTCACAACTTCATCAATTGTAACTTACAAGTCATGTAAATATCAAATCAGGTAAATATCAGATCTGGTTAATAACAAGTTGGATTATTTACAGGTTGAATCAATTACATGTAAAGTTTATAGCAGGTCAGGTTGATAACAGGACGGGTAATACCAGTTATTTACCATGTTAATATTTGGGTTCAAATTCATATCAGTCAGATGCAGGTCGGGTTCAGTTATCATATTATCGTTTCAATTCGGGTTTAGGTAATTCTCAGATCGGGTAGAGGTTGGGTTCAGATCCACAATTTCTAGGTCTAACTCGGGTTGAGGTCAACACCAATTCAGACTTGAGTCGGTTTCGAATCACCACCGTTCAGGACTTCAGGTCATAAATAATGTTGACTTGAGTCGGTTTCACTCAATTTTATAGGTCGGGTCAGCTTAGGAGGGTATTGAACCCGAAAGCTTGTTTCCATACAAGCTCAACTCCTCCAGCTTTTGCAAGTATCCTAAAGAGAATGGGATAACACCATTGAAGTTGTTGTAGTACAGACGCAACACCTGAAGTTGAGTTAATGATCCTAACCACGATGGGATTTCTCCACTGAAGCTGTTGTTACCCAAGTCTATATGTTTCATCCGGTGCAAATTTGATAACTGGACTGGTAATCTGAAAACTGTTATCTTTGATTGAAAGAAGAGAAAGGAATGATAAATTTCCTAAGTGGGGTGGAAGGGTGCCTACAAATCCCAAACCAGTAAGGTTTAGAGCTGTGACTTTGCGGTGGTTGGATCCGCAGCTGACACCAAACCAATTGCAAACAGGAGTAGAAGATGACCAATTGGTTGCCAACACATTTCCAGGATCCTGGATAACATGGTTTCAATGCAAGAAGAGCGAACTGGTCTGTAAGAATGGTGGTTAAGTTCTTGGAAAGAGTGGTCAGAAAAAAATGGAAGATGATGAGAAGAGTCAAGTTGAGGAAAGTGTTCGCCATTTGATTTTGGGTGGTTGAGTCAATGGAAATGGTGTTTGTCAAGCTACAAAGGAAGGCACAACCGAAATAGCCTGATAATACATTCTTATATACAATATAATGGACCCATGCATTTCTGCACACGTCCATTGTTAATTGAAGGTCTTATAATAACTAAAACATCCCCTCTAAGCTAGTGAAAATTTCACTTAGCCCCTTTTATTATTCTTTATCAGTTTAACTCCTAAACTTGGAACACGCGAATAATTTTTATTTTTAATGTTTTTCGGTGGTTTTCTCCTTGTCTTAACAGTAGCTTTCAACATCACACAACATCACTAGATTGATACATGTATAAAGAGAAATGGTTGCTGGAAGCGTAGATGAGCTCACAATAATTTATAACTCTCAGAAATTTTTATTGATACGAAACAAAATATTTTACAACGACACTCTCAATATTACAATACTGCAATACTAGCTGCGGCTAGTTTACAAACACAACCTCACTATTTTATGCTTTGCTAAGCTCTCTCAATTTTCTCTAATTTTTTCTCCCACTCGTACTTTGCTTTTCTCACTCACACACACACCCTTTGCTACAAATTACACGTATATATAGGAAAACTAAACCGACTTAACTTACTCTGGATGCTTCTCAATTTCTCGTTGCCACCTCATGTTTGTTTCTAAAATATTCTAGCCGCGTGATTGAATTTGCTTGTGCTTATCTTCAATTTGTTTTTTTTTTTTGTAGCTGCTGCCATTTGTTTTATTGCTGCCACACTTGTGATTTATGGGACCACCTTAAATCTTGCCGACATATTTTTTTATTGTTAAGTTTGGATGCACATGTGATTGTTCAAGAGTTTGACTTCCAGCACTCCCCCTCAAACTCGACTTTCCATTCCGAGCTTCTCTTTGAGTCGGTTGAATATATCTGCTCTCAATGGCTTTGTGAAAATATCTGCTAGTTGATCTTCAGTTCTGCAGTAAATTAGCTCCACATTTTTGTTCTTCACCTGCTCTCGTATAAAGTGATACTTTGTATCAATATGCTTGCTTCGGCTATGAGAGACTGGATTCTTGGCAGGGGAAATTGTAGACTTGTTGTCGACATAGATTGTAGTTGGTTCTTCTTGCGCCAAATTTAGCTCGTTCAAAATATTCCTTAACCACATTGCTTGGCAAGTGCACGCTGCTGCGGCTATGTATTCTGCTTCACATGTTGAAAGAGCTACTGTTTGTTGCTTCTTGATGACCATGAAAATACTGCAGAGCCGATATGAGATATCCAGTTGTGCTTTTCCGATCGTCTAAGTCTCCCCCATAATCACTATCAGAATAACCAACCAGCTTCGAATTTTCTGAATGCGTGTAGAATAACCATAACCTGTTGTACCTTTGACATATCTGAGGATTCTTTTTGCTGCACTCCAATGATCTGTTTCGGATGCTCCATGATCTGCTTACCAATCCCACAGCGTATATTATGTCTGGTCGTGTGATAGTCAGACCTTAGACTTCCAACTATGCTTTTGAACAACGTCGGATTCACTTGCTCTCTTGTTGAATTCACACTTAATTTGACTCCTGGTTCTGCTGGAGTGGCTACCGGCTTGCAATCTTCCATTCTGAATTTTCTTAAAATTTCTTCTGCATACTTCTTTTGTGATATAATATTCCTTCTTGCATTTGCTTCACTTCAACTCCAAGGAAGTATGACATTTCTCCAATATCTGTCATTTCAAATTCTTTAGTCATAGCTTTCTTAAAATCATTGAACATACCTGGATTATTTCCTGTGAAAATCATGTCGTCCACATATAAGCACACGATCATGATATCACCGTCTTCATTTTTCTTTGTGTATAAGGCATGCTCGTATGGACTCTTCATGAACCCATTTCTCTGGAAATATTCATCAATCCTCGTGTTCCATGCTCTCGGGGCTTGCTTCAAACCATATAGAGCTTTCTTCAATCGGTAAACTTTGTCTTCATGTCCCTTTTTAATGTATCCAGGTGGTTGCTCAATATAAACTTCTTCTTCTAGTAGCCATTTAGAAATGCTGACTTCACATCCATTTGATAAATTTTCCATCCTTTTTGTGCTGCGACTGCTATGAGAAGTCTGATGGTCTCGATCCTTGCTACTGGAGCAAATACTTCATCTAGTCTATTCCTTGTCTTTGTTTATAGCCTTTGACAACTAGCCTCGCTTTGTACTTCTCAACATTTCCTTCTTTATTGATCTTTGTCTTGTAACCCATTTTACTCCAATTGGGTTATGGCCTTCTGGTTGTCTTGTTAGCTCCCAAGTATCATTTCTTTCTATTGATGCAATTCTTCATCCATTGCATTCCTCCATTTGTCATCTTCAACCACTTCTTCGTATGTTATTGGATCACTGTTCACAAGCAAGCAGAAAAGTGAAACATTATTTAGTTCATAATCGTTGTACCTTTCTGGCATTCTTCTCTCTCTTGTGGATCTTCGAAGTTCTGTGGGAGGTGCTTCACGATCTTCTATTATGTTGCTGGCATCGCTGCTGCTGCTTGACGACGATGGTAGATTTTGTCGAGGATCTTGATCATCATCTTGTTCATCTTGATTGATAAGATCACCATCTTTATCTTCAAAAAATAGTCCTTCAACTTTCTTTTCCTCTTCGTTCCATCTCCAATAGTCTGCTTCATCGAACTCGACATCTCTTGAAATTATTATCTTCTTTGTAAGAGGATTATATAATCTATAAGCTTTGCTTCTTTCATCATAGCCAATGAAAATACATTTTTCTCCTCTGTCATCAAGCTTCTTTCTGGTCTGTTCGGGAACATGGGCATATGCGATGCATCCAAAATCTTGAGTGTCCAACTCCTAGTTTCTGTCCACTCCATGCTTCGTTTGGCGTCATATACTTCACGTTTTTTGTTGGACATCGGTTCAATAAATAAACTGCACATCGAACTGCTTCAGCCCAGAAATTTCTCGGTAGTTGCTTACCTTTTATCATGCTTCTCGCCATATCCAGGATTGTGCGGTTCTTCCTTTCTGCAACTCTATTTTGTTGTGGCGTGTATCTGGCTGTCAGCTGATGGATGATACCATGCTCTTTGCAGAATTCTTCAAATAACTTTGATGTATATTCGCCTCCTCTATCTGATCTGAGTATCTTCAAATATTGACCGCTTTGTTTTTCCGCCATTGCTTTAAATTCTTTCAATTTTTCCAGCGCTTCTGACTTTTCTTTCAAGATATAAATCCAACATTTTCTACTAAAATCATCAATGAAAGTTAGGTAGTACCTGTTAGCGCCAAGCGATGGTATGTCAAAAGGACCGGCTATATCTGTGTGTACTATCTCCAGCAGTCTTTGGGCACGCCAGGATCTACCAACTTCAAAGCTTTGTCTATGTTGCTTCCCTTTGATGCAAGCCTCACATAATTGATTTGGAGGGTTGATCTCTGGTAGTCCTTTCACCATGCTTGTTTTTGACAACAGCTTCAATCCAGAAAATCCAAGATGTCCATATCTTAGATGCCATAGCCATGAATCATCTTTGATCGCGGTCTTTATGCACATTACTTCTCCTGACTCGATATCAATTGTAAAGAGACGATTTCGAGTTATATCAGCTTGGGCTATCAATTCTCCTTCTTTATTTTTGATGGCGAGCGAGCGATTCTTCATCTGCACTTCATATCCTTTTTCCAGGAGTTGACCAAGACTGATGATATTGCTTTTCAAAGCAGGTACATAATAAACATCTGAAATATATTTCTTTTCTCCATTTTTCTGAGTAATCATGACTTTGCCTTTTCCTTTTATTTCTGCGTGCGAGTCATCTCCGAACGTTACTCGTTCATGGACTGTTTCATCTAATTTCACAAACAATTCCCTTTGGCCACACATATGGTTACTGGCACAATTATCAAGATACCAAATATTTTTCTTGAATTCTTCATTTCCTTTATAAGTGAGGAATACGTGAGATTTTTCAATTTTTTCTTCTTCAGCTGCTGCTACGTTATTTCTTTTTTCTTGTTTAGGAGCAGATCTACACTCATAACTATAATGACCATACTTATTGCAATTATAACATTGTACCTGGAATTTACTTCCTTGTTGATATTTGCCCCTACCTCGGCCTCTGAATCCTCGTCCACGACCTATGTTAGATTGCTTTCACTCATTTGATCGGTGCTATATGATCGACCACCACGTCCATGAGTTCCTCGTCCTTCTCTATATCTTCCACGATAACCACCACGATTTCCTCGTCCTTCTGTGTAGCTGCTGCTAGCTTTTCCTTCGTTGACATTCATCTTGCTTTGTAGAGCTTGCTCCAAATTTTCAGAATCTTCATTTTGTTTTATTTTCTGCTCATGGGCTTGAAGTGAACCCACAAGCTCATCGATCGATATCTGGGATAAATCTTTTGATTCTTCGATTGCCACCACCACGTAATCAAATTTTTGTGTTAATGACCGCAAAATTTTTTCCATCACTCTAACATCGTCGAGTGATTCGCCATTTCTTTTTATTTCATTTACGACCGTTTTCACACGGCTAATATAATCATCGATATTTTTTGTATTTTTCATTTTTAGCATCTCAAACTCAGCTCTGAGAGTTTGTAAGCGTACCTTCTTTGCTTTTTCGGCACCTTGTAGAGATTTTTGCAAAATCTCCCATGCTTGTTTTGCGGTCTTTGCATCAGAAATTTTTTCAAAGGTAGATTCGTCTACTCCTTGAAAAATAAAGAACAACGCTTTTTTACCTTTTCTCCGGGATTCCTTCAATACCTTCTTTTCTTCATTGGCCAGGACTGCTTCTGCTGCTGCATTTTCAGGCTCGGTGTAACCATCCTCGATGATATCCCAACAATCTTGGGAGCCTAGTAACGCCTTCATTTGAATTCTCCAATTGCCATAATTTGTCTTTGTCAATCTCGGGATTTGTGGTTGAATCATGTTGGTCATCTTCTCCACCACGTTGAACTCGAACCTGGCTCTGATACCACTTGCTGGAAGCGTAGATGAGCTCACAATAATTTATAACTCTCAGAAATTTTTATTGATACGAAACAAAATATTTTACAACGACACTCTCAATATTACAATACTGCAATACTAGCTGCGGCTAGTTTACAAACACAACCTCACTATTTTATGCTTTGCTAAGCTCTCTCAATTTTCTCTAATTTTTTCTCCCACTCGTACTTTGCTTTTCTCACTCACACACACACCCTTTGCTACAAATTACACGTATATATAGGAAAACTAAACCGACTTAACTTACTCTGGATGCTTCTCAATTTCTCGTTGCCGCCTCATGTTTGTTTCTAAAATATTCTAGCTGCGTGATTGAATTTGCTTGTGCTTATCTTCAATTTGTTTTTTTTTTTTGTAGCTACTGCCATTTGTTTTATTGCTGCCACACTTGTGATTTATGGGACCACCTTAAATCTTGTCGACATATTTTTTTATTGTTAAGTTTGGATTCACATGTGATTGTTCAAGAGTTTGACTTCCAGCAATGGTTGCCAATTGACTTCAAACTAATTTAGACTTATATTTTGAGAAACTATTGATTAATATAATTCTCAATTTTCAAGAACTGATAAACGGAACGGTCCAAATAAGAGTTTAAGAATTTTATTTTAATGACCTATACGTGCTTGTCTTCTACTACGGTGACGTTGCACCATAGTTAAAGGTCAAGGGATTTGATTTCGTAGACGGTGAAATTAAAAGAGAGACTATGACACAAACTTAAAGGTAAGTGAAAAATCAATTCTTGGTTTTGGTTTTCTGAATTGGTTAGTCAACTTAGATACATGGACATTAATACTACTTTACTACTGACATAGATCGCTATAATTCTTTATGAAGGCAAATGCTATTAATTAATTACTATTTGATTGGAAATTTGAGGCTTCTTTGGTTTGAATTTTGGAACTTCTTCACTCCGTTAATTCTAAATTTTCCGATTGAGAATATAAACTAAAGAAATAGTCCTCAGTTCAGCCATGGAAATTTCTTCAGTCCTTCCTTTGTCAAATTTGCTGGTTTTTATAAATTTGAATAATTGAATTCGTTGGCCTGCAAATAGCAGTGGAGATGCTTAACCCAAAGGAGCAAGTAATTAGTAATAAATATATCCAAAATGAAAGCATTATTTGCAATTCTATGCATTCTGCTCGCTTCCACTCTTTTCATCTCCATTTTCACCATGGCTCGAGCACGGCAGCTCTGGGGTAAGTAAAATAGATATATTAAAACTTTTACAGTAATTATTTTCTAAATTATGTTTTACACACATATATATTAACATACTCCAATTTCAGTAAAATGACATCTCAACGCACATGGAAATTTTTTTTGGATGCTTTGTGTTCGTTATCCAATTAAATTAATATATACATATATTTAAATAAATGGTTTTAATTATATAGAACATGGGAATTATAAGGCTATTAATTTTGCAGATATGGAATGTCAAGAACCTAATGTCTGCTTCTGTCCCGAATATAATCGAGACTGCCATCGTCTTCGCTCTCGACCTTGAATGTTGTGGGAAAGCAAAGCTATAGGATCCATTGGCGAAACCATATATGGAGATCCCCTA